AAGCAGTGGTATCAACGCAGAGTACTTGTCGTTGTAGAGGGCGCGCGTGGGCCAGCTCGACAGCGCGGTGATGCTGTCGCGCACCGCGGTCGCATCCAGCTGAGCGGGCAGTGCGGCAATGTCCTGGATATGGCTGTCCTGCGCCTGCATCCGTGCGTTCTGCGCGTCGATCTGCGCGCGGTCGAGGATCGGCGCATCGGCGTTGTCCAGGCGCGCGGCCCAGTACTGCGGGGTCAGGAACGCCTCGTGCAGGCCGATCACATACGGCAGTGGTGCGCCGGGATCGGGTGCCGGAGTGGTCTGCGCAAAGGCGGGCGCCGCCAGCAGGCACAGCGCCAGGGTCAAGCGGCGCGGCCAATGCCGGTGCCGTTCGCGGGAAGCCAGGATCATGCGCTGCACACCCTCCTCGAATGCCTGTTGGAATATTTATTCCTTTCGGCTTCGAAATCAAGAATAAATTATTGACCGGCATCCCGGCCCGTGTTACACAGCCGTTACCACCCGCGCTGGGGAAGTGTCGCTGTGGATCCTGCCGTTCGCAAACCGCGTCTGACTGCTGCTGCCGGCCTGGGTGCCGCGCTGCTGCTGTGGGCGTGGTCGGCGGGCGCGGAGCCGCCGCCCTCGGCCATCCAGTTTGCGCGGGTCGTGCAGATGATCGACGTGGGACGGTTCTCCGAAGCTCATAGCGAGCTGAATACCTGGTCGGCGGCCGACGCGGCGGAACCGGGCGTCAGTTTCGATGACATCGCGTTCCAGGAAGAACGCATGCGCCGCATCCGCCTGGACTTTTCCCTCGACGAAACCGCCGCCAAGTCTGCCGTGCGGCGCTGGATTCCCGACCTGACCGACGAGGAATTCGCGCGCTGGGATCAGCTCGGCCTGATCGAGCACCTCGATATCGATGGCACGCGTTGGTACTTCAAGCGCGCACCGTCGAACCTGTTCCTGCTCAGCGATGAAGCACGTGCACGCCGCCGTGCGGATGCACCGATGCCGGCGCCGGGCCCGAACGAAGTGCTCAACGCCCATCACGTGCGCGTGCTTGCCGCGGCCGAACAGAGCGGCAAGGCCTCCGTGCTGCCGCAGCGCATCGAATTCACCCAGTCGCTCACCGTGAAGGCCGATGCGGTGCCGGCCGGCGAAACCGTACGCGCATGGATTCCGTATCCGCGTGAGATTCCCGGCCAGCAGGAACAGGTGCAGTGGCTGGGCAGTACGCCGGGCAAGGCACGCGTGGCACCGGCAAGCACGCTGCAGCGCACCGCCTACCTTGAAGCCAAGGCCGTAGCCGGCAAGCCGACCCGCTTCGAGATCCGCTACGCGGTCACGATCTTCGCCCGGCATACCGCGATTGATCCGGCCAAGGTGCAGCCGACGCCGGCCGATCCGGCGCTGCAACCCTACCTGTCCGAGCAGCTGCCACATGTGCGCTTCACTCCTGCACTGAAGCTGTTCTCCGACCAGGTACTGCAGGGCGAGACGCGGCCGTATGAGGTGGTGCGCAAGCTGTTCGCTGCGGTGGATCGCGTTCCGTGGGCCGGTGCGCGCGAATATTCCACGATCAGCAATCTCAGCGATTACGCGTTGCGTGCCGGCCATGCCGACTGCGGTCAGCAGACGCTGCTGTTGATCGCGCTGCTGCGCATGAACGGCATTCCCGCGCGCTGGCAGTCGGGCATGGTGTTCTCCGGCGATGGCAGTGGCTACAACAACCTGCACGATTGGGGGCAGGTCTACCTGACGCCGTATGGCTGGCTGCCGATGGACGTGACCACCGGCGCACTGGCCAGCGACGTGCCGGCCCTGCGCGACTTCTACCTGGGTGGCCTGGACGGCTACCGCATCGCCTTCAACGATGATTTCGGCCAGCCCTTGGTGCCGGCCAAACAGCACTTCCGCTCGGAAACGGTCGACTCGCAGCGCGGCGAGGCCGAGTGGGCAGGCGGCAACCTGTACTTCGACCAATGGAGCTACGACTTCCAGTGGCGGGTACTGCCAGCCAGGCAACGCTAGCGCGACACATCACACTCCACACCATTCAATTCTTGCAGGAGAGAGCAGGGGATGAAGGCTTACAGTATTAAGCGGGCGGCGTTGTGCGTCGCCCTCGGGGCGTGTCTGGGCGTAGTGCTGCCCGGCATCGCGATGGCACAGAATGTGACGGGTGCAGTCGCCGGACGCGCGACCGCTGGTGACCAGGTCACCGTGGTCAGCAGCAGCACCGGCCTGACCCGCACCGTCAACGTCGGTAGCGACGGCAGCTACCGCCTGGGCCAGTTGCCGGTGGGTGACTACCAGTTGCAGCTCAGCCGCGACGGCCAGAAGCTGGGCGATCAGGTTGCCGTCAGCGTTGCTGTCGGCGGGTACCACCACGGTCAATCTGGCCAGTGGTGGTGGCGTGACCAATCTTGATGCATTGCAGGTGGTCGGCACCCGCGTGGTCAATCGCGTGGATGTCTACTCCACTGAAACCTCCTTCAACATCAACCGGCAGGAAATCTCGCGGCTGCCGGTGGCTCAGGATCTGTCCGCCGTTGCGCTGATGGCGCCAGGCGTGGTGGGCGGCAACTCGTCGTTCGGTGGCCTGTCGTTCGCCGGTTCATCGGTGGCCGAGAATGCGGTCTTCATCAACGGCCTGAACGTCACTGACATGTATACCCGTCGTGGCTTCAGCACGGCGCCGTTCGCGTTCTTCAACGAGTTCCAGGTCAAGACCGGTGGCTACTCGGTCGAGTTCGGCCGCTCCACCGGCGGCGTGATCAATGCCGTGACCCGCTCGGGCAGCAATGACTTCGAAGGCGGCGTGGAAGTCACCGCCGAGCCCAGCGCATGGCGTGCCAGCGGCGGGGATCATTTCCACCGCGATGGCACTCCCCACTCCTATGGCAGCCGTGACAACAACTCGTTCCTGAAGACCAACGTCTGGGGTTCGGGGCCGATCATCAAGGACAAGCTGTTCCTGTTCGCGATGTACGAAGACCGCAGCGACAAGGGGCACAACACCTCGTCCGATGGCAGCACCTGGTTCAAGAACGACTCGGGCAACGGCTTCTGGGGCACCAAGCTGGACTGGAACATCAACGACAACCATAGCCTGGCGCTGCTGGCTTTCTCCGACGAAGGAGACGTCACCAATGCGTCGTATGGCTACAACTGGAACGCCGACCGGCTCGGCGCCTGGGGCGGCGACTCGGTCACCGAGACCGGCGGCCGCAACTGGTCGGCCACCTACACCGGCCACTTCGGCCAGAACTTCACCGCACGCGCCATGGTGGGCCAGAACAACCAGCGCGCGTTCACCAACTCGTCGCTGGACCAGGCCTGCAGTCCGGTGTTCACCGATAGCACCTACGGCCCGCGCCTGGGCAAGCTGCAGGGGCTGCGCGCCGGCTGCCATCCCACCGGCACGGCGGTGGCCGAACGCGATGACACCCGTGACGTGGCGCGCCTGGACTTCGAATGGCAGCTGGGCGACCACCTGTTGCGCTTCGGCGTGGACCGCGAGTTGATGACCACCAAGCAGTCCACCCGCTACCCGGGCCCCACCGAGCTGAGCTATACCGCTTACGTGGCGCGACCCGGCGACGAAGTGTGGGACGGCGCCAATGCCTTCGTGCCGGCGGGGGTCACCGAAATGCTGCGCGCGCGCAACCGCAAGTCCGGTGGCACCTTCGAGACCGAGGCCAATGCCTTCTACCTGGAAGACATCTGGAACATCACGCCGAATCTCATGCTGAACCTCGGCGTGCGCTGGGACCGCTTTGAAAACCGCACCGCTGCCGGCAAGGCGTTCATCAAGATGGACGACCTGATCGCACCGCGCGTCGGCTTCTCCTGGGACATGCGCGGCGATGGCAGCACCAAGCTGTTCGGCAACGCCGGTCGCTACTACCTGCCAGTCACCAACAACATCAACGTGAACTTCGCCGGTGGCCTGACCGACGAGTACAGTTACTACGTGCTCAACGGCTGGGAGCAGAAGACCTCGCCAACCGGCTCGCCGTACATGGCGCCGATCGTCGGCCAGCAGATCGGGCCGACAGACACGCGCATGAACACCGGCGGTGCCGACCTGCGCCAGAGCGTGGACCGCGACCTGAAGGCGGTCTACCAGGACGAGTACATCCTGGGCTTCCAGAACATGATCAACCAGGCCTGGTCGTGGGGCGTCAACGCCACCTATCGGCGCATGACCCGTGCGCTGGATGACATCCGCATCAACTACACGCCGTGCGGCCCGACCCCGAGCACGCTGTGGCCGATCGCCAACCCGGGCGAGAGCCTGACGATCTGGGGCGACAAGAGCATCGGCTGCGCCAACGAAGGCTGGATCACCATCGATACCGCCAACAGCGGCTATCGCAAGGGCGGCAGCGGCGAGGTGATCGGTTACTCCAAGCCCAAGCGCACCTACAAGGCACTGGAATTCCAGATTGATCGCGCGTGGGACGAGAAGTGGATGTTCAACGCGTCCTACCTGTGGTCCAAGAGCGAGGGCAACTTCGAAGGGCCGGTGAACTCCGATACCAACTACGGTGATACCGGCATGGTGCAGTTCTGGGATCATCCGGCCACCAACGAGCGCTATGGCGTGCTGTTCAACGACTTCCGCCACCAGTTCAAGCTCCGCGCTGCGTATGCGCTGAACAAGCAGTGGTCGTTCGGCACCACGCTGCAGGTGCAGTCGGGTGGCCCGATCACCGCCTACGGCGTGATGTGGCCGAACGACTCCATCGCCGGCGGCAGCACCTCCAGCGAAGGCAGCGGCGGCGGCACCGGCTGGCTGTGCGTGGCTAATTGTTCGGGCCCCTACAACCAGCGCCAGTTCGAGTACAGCCCACGCGGCGCGTTTGGTCGCCTGCCGTGGACCTGGACCATGGGCGCCAACGTGACCTGGCGCCTGCCGGTGGAAGGTATCGACCTCAGCGCCCGGTTGTCGGTGTACAACCTGTTCAACAACCAGAAGACCATCAACGTGCACCAGCGCTATGAAGCACAGCCAGGCCAGTACCGCGAGGCGACCTTTGCTACCGGCACACGCTGGCAGGCACCGCGCTATACCCAGCTGGTGGTGACCTGGAACTTCTGAAGCCAGCGCCGCGTATAGCGTCGAGCGCGCTCGACAGGATGCCGTACGTCCGCTTGCGGAACGTAGTCGAGCACGCACGATGCGGCCTCTGTGCGGCTGCACTGGCGGTGTTTCCGGCTGCGACAGCGCAGCCGGCCGGCACCGCGTCCATCGACGCCGACGTCGTCGCGGTAGTCCGCGCCGAACATCTGCCCGGGCTGGCGATGGCGGTGGTCGAGAACGGACAGGTGGTCTATCGCCATGCGGAAGGCAAGCGCGGCGATGGCGGGCGCATCGATGAGGACACGCTGTTCAAGATCGCCTCCAACAGCAAGGCGATGACCGCCGCGCTGCTGGCGCGGCTGGTGCAGCAGGGCAGGCTGCGCTGGGATGACCCTGTGCAGCGCTATCTGCCGGAGTTCCGCATGCATGACGCATGGGTGGGCCAGCAGATGCAGGTGCGCGACCTGCTGATCCACAACAGCGGCCTCGGCCTGGGTGCGGGCGACCTGATGCTGTGGCCGGAGCCGAACACGTTCACCCGTGCCGATATCATCGCCGGGCTGGCGCATTTGAAGCCGGTCAGCAGCTTCCGCAGCCATTACGCCTACGACAACCTGATGTACGTGGTGGCCGGCGAAGTGGCCGCTGCGGCCGGTGGAAAACCTTATGACCAGCTGATGCGCGAACAGGTATTCGAGCCACTGGGGCTGTCGCGCTGCCAGGTGGGCGCATGGTCGGTGAAACGCGTGGGCAACGTGGCGCAGCCGCATGCCTGGCACGGCGAACGCAACGAAGTGGTGAGCGCCGATGGGGCCATCAGCCCGGACCTGCCCTCGATGGCCGCCGGTGGCATCCGCTGCTCGCTGCGTGACATGACGCGCTGGATGCAGGTGCTGCTGGACCCCGCGCTGGCGCCGGACTGGCTGGGCGCTGAGCAGCGCCGCACGCTGTGGACCCTGCACATGCCGATGCCGTTGAGTGAACGCCAGCGGCGCTGGGACAACGCGCACTTCTACGGCTACGGATACGGCTGGCGGGTGTCGGACATGGACGGGCAGTGGAAGGTGGCGCACACCGGCACGCTGTCGGGCATGTATTCGTCGCTGGCCCTGCTGCCCGACCGCAAGCTGGGTGTGGTGATGCTGATCAACGGCGAGGGCGAGGATGCGCGCACCGCCCTGATGCAGGCCACGCTGAAACGGTTCACCGCCGCGCACGATGCGCGCCCGGCGACGGCCTACCTGGCCGAGCTGAAGGCTGAGCAGGCCACGCGGGCGGCAACCGGCCATCAGCGACCAGCCACTTCCGATGCGCGACAGGCGTCGGCTTCCGATCTGCCACGCTGGCAGGGCCGCTACAACGACCCGTGGCTGGGTCCGGCCTCGCTGTGCCCGGGCAAGGACGGCCTGCGCTTCAGCGTGGACAAGTCGCCCCGGCTGCAGGCCACGGTACTGCAGCTGCAGGGGCGCTGGCTGCTGCGCTGGGATACGCTGGGCGACGAAGCACAGGCGTGGCTGCAACCGGGCGAAGGCCCGTCGCCGACGCTGGACCTGCGCGCCATTGATCCGGACATCGACTTCAGCTATGACTTCCAGGACCTGCATTTCACTCGTACTGGCGATTGCCCTGGCCGCGACAGCCCGCGGCGCTGAGCCGCCGCGCGTTTCAGCGGCCACTGATGCGGCCAGCGCCGGACTGGTGGAGATCCGCACGCTGTCGCCACACATCGACATGGACATCCGCTACGCCGGCGCCAACAACTTCACCGGTGTGCGCGTTCCCGGCTACGAGGCGCCTTCCTGCTATCTGCTGGAGCCAGTGGCGAAGGCACTGGCCCAGGTGGAGCAGGATCTGCGCGCAGATGGATGGGGCCTGCGGATCTACGACTGCTATCGGCCGGTGCGCTCGGTGCAGGCCTTCATGGCCTGGGTGAACGACCCGGGCGAGCTTTCGCGCAAGGCATTGCAGTACCCGGGCCTGGACAAGCCACGCCTGCTGGCCGACGGCTACATCGCCGAGCGTTCCGGCCACAGCCGCGGTGCCACCGTCGACCTCGGCCTGCTGGATTGCCGCAGCGGTACCTGCACGCCGCTGGACATGGGGACGGATTTCGATTTCTTCGGCCCGCGTGCGCATACGCAGGCGAGCGGGTTGAGCGACGTGCAGCAGGTAAATCGACAGCAGCTGGTGCGCGCGATGGCCCGGCGCGGTTTCGTGAATTACCCGCAGGAGTGGTGGCATTACACGCTGCAGCCCGAACCGGACCCCGGCACCGCGTACGACGTCCCCGTACGGTAGGGGTATCGGCAGAGGGTCGCTGCTGTTGGTAGGTGTCGACCTTGGTCGACACGGTAGATCGACGTCATGCCTGGATGCTTTTCGTTTGATCATCGAGATACTCGATTTCGATGGAGATTCATCCACGCATGGCGTGGATCTACCACCAACCGTCATCAGGACTCTGTCGGGGGTGGGGCGGTGTGGGTGGGCAGGACCGTTGGCGCCATGGATGGCGGCATCGAGCCCCCATGGGTGAGGGCGCTTTGCTTGCGAAGCACTGCTTCGCAAGCGCCCGAACGCCCAGCCGCCAGCGGCTGGGCCGGACCCCGGAGGGGGGTTTACGGCGTGTCCTGCCCACCCACATCGTCCCGCCAAACCGTCAGCAGTCCAGAGCCGCATTGGCTTCGGCCGTTGCTTGAAGCCTCCGCGGGTGGAGGGTGCAACCCTGCCGATACCCTTACACTGGCCGCCTTCTCATCCCTGCCCACCCGATGAACCTTCCCCTGCACTTCGGCCTGCTCGGCACCCTGGAAGCTGGCGCCATCGCCCTGCTGGTCGGCCTGCTGGTGTACTTCCTGTGGTCGCGCCTGTGCCGGCTGCTGCACTGGTCGGTGGGCCATGCGATCGGCTGGTCGTGCGTCATCTCGGTGGTGATCTCCACCGGCATCGATGCGTGGAAGCTGTTCTACATGGGCATCGTGCGGCTGGAGTCGCCGCTGTATGCGCGCCTGTTCCTGTCCACCATCCACGATCCGAACGAACTGGGCAGCCGCGTGGTGCTGGAAATCGCCGGTGCGCTGGCCGGTGTCGCCTTGGGATGGGTGATGTTCAGTTCGCGGTCATTGGAAAAAACCGTCGACTGACGCAGGTTTTTCGTTGCCTGCCGGTTAAATCCTGCTGCGCTGAATGCGCAGCTTATGAGCCGCTCACTCCGCCCTAACCAGCGTGCTAATGCATGCGCGCGGGCCAGTGGTTAATCGTGCGTGTTCACGCAGGTCGCGCCGCAAAATCGATTCAGAAACGCGGTGGCAGGGTAGGTGCCGTGCGGAAACAACACGCCGCGCAACACCACCCAATCGGTAGGAGACACCCCTGATGACTATTCGCAACCGCAAGCCCCTGATCGCCCTGATCGTCGCCGCCGGCAGCGTGCTGGCCATCCCGGCGATGGCCCAGTCGGCCAAGCAGCAGGCCGCGCAGGCGCAGAATGAAGCCGCGCAGGCCCAGCAGGCGGCGGCACAGGCCGGGCAGGCGGCTGACCAGGCCACCAACGCGGCCGCAGCGGCCTCGGCACAGGCCAATGGCGGTGGCCAGACCTGGGCCAGCATCGACACCGATGGCAACGGCACCATCAGCAAGAGCGAGGCACAGGTGAACGCGGGCCTCGCCCAGGTGTTCGACCAGGCCGATACCAACAAGGACGGCGAGCTGAGCGCCGATGAGTACAAGGCCTACGTGGCCGCCCAGCAGGCCGGCGCAGGTGCCGGCGCGGCGCAGGGCCGCTGATCCACACCTGATTCGGGAAAACCGGTGCATGGGGACCCGGGCGGCTACGGCCGCCCGGGTTTTTCCCGTCTGTCGGGCCGCTGTATCCTTGGCGGATGAATACCCCCACGCCTGCGCCGTCGCGCGCCATCGGCCTGGTTGGTTTTGACGGTGATGACACGCTGTGGAAGAGCGAGGACTACTACCGCAAGGCCGAGCAGGATTACCTGGACCTGCTGTCGCGCTATGTCGACGTGCACGACACCCAGACCGCCCGCCACCTGCTGGAAGTGCAGCAGCGCAACCTGGCCGTGTTCGGCTATGGCGTGAAGGGCATGGTGCTGTCGATGATCGAAGCGGCCATCGACATCACCGGCCAGCGCATCGACGCCAAGGACATCCAGCGCATGCTGGACATCGGCCATGACACCCTGCGCCACCCGGTCGAGCTGATCGACGGCGTGCGCGCATCGGTGGCGGCCATTGCCGAACAGTACCCGGTGGTGCTGATCACCAAGGGCGATCTGTTCCACCAGGAAGCCAAGATCAAGGTGGCCAACCTGCGCGAGCTGTTCCCGCGCATCGAGATCGTCTCGGAGAAGGACCCGGAAACCTACGCGCGCGTGCTGGCCGAGTTCGACCTGCCGATGCAGCGCTTCGTGATGGTCGGCAACTCGCTGCGTTCGGATATCGAGCCGGTGGTGACCCTTGGCGGCTGGGGCGTGCATACCCCGTACGCGGTGACCTGGGCCCACGAGACCCAGCACGGCGTGGCCGACGACGAACCGCGCATGGTCACCGCCGATACCGCGCACGATTGGCCAGCCGCGCTGGCGGCGATCGAGGCCAAGGCAGCTGCGGCGGCCTGACAGGGGCGGGCGGCTGCGGCAGAATCGGGGCATGAACGTCCGACTGCGCGCACTGATGCTGTCCCTGCTGCTGGCGCCGGCCACCGTGCTGGCCCAGCAGACCGCCGAGCGCTCGGCGGCCTACACCGTGGAAACCGGTGACAGTTGGGTGGATGCCCAGCTGCAGGACATCAACCATTACGCCGAACGCTACCCCGACGCCTTCCTCGATGAGGTATCGCGCTATGCCGGCGTGTCGCGCGGCTACATCAGCGCCTTGTTCACCACCCACGGCTGGCAGGCCGGGGATATCTATTTCGCCTGTTTCTGGGCCAAGGCCAGCGGCCAGACCTGCCGCGACAGCGTGCGCGCCTTCAGCCAGAATCCGGAGGGGGGCTGGGAGGC